TAGGTGTGTAGGTTGGGTGTGAGTGTGGGGGTAGCATGTGTATATGTGGGGGAGCTGCCCACATGCTAGGTCCCAGAATTAGCTGGGGTAGAGGGAGGGAGGGAGAGGGGGCAGGGGCTCGTGCAGCAGACCTCATCTGGGTGGTGCAGGTACAGGTGAGATCCACCCACGTTCCCCCCAGTCCAGCCTATGGCTGCTCCCGCAGCGCTCTGCATGGGGCCGAGCCCTCCTTGCTCCTACCATAGGCATGATCTGCACCATGATCCTGTACTGTGCCTGTCAGACAGCACTCCCCCGGCCCTTGCCCTGGGCCCAGCCCCAACCCCAGTCAGCATGCACAGCTTCCTGGAAAGTATCTCCAGTCAACACTGGCTTAATACAAGTTTTGCAAATCCCAAAGGATTTCTGGTTGCAGTAAGTATTACAAAAATAGCTTCCTCTGAAATTTGTTGGGCTTCAGCACAAAATCTAACTCTAAACCTGCTTTTGATTTAGCTGTCTCTCTCTTTACCCCTATTCTTTCTTTCCAGCCCCCAGACACACAGAGATATCCATGCCAGCTTTTATGCCCTAGTGTATTGCTGCGTTCTTGAATATGACTAAAATCATTACTCACAAAGCAATCTTGAAGCCAGTTTGCCATTTTATTCAGCTATATCTTAGCCTTTTGTGGGTGGCAGACTGTACAGCATGCTTGCATGTCCCTATCATGGCATCTGAGAAATAGCACTTCTGATGCATCTTCAAACACATAGAATGGGTCTTTCTTTCAACCCCTTTTCCCTTTATTATCTGATGACTCTAAAAGCAACACCATTGGGAGTCTTGTACTCCTGGTAGGGTCACTCATGGTAACAAGGTCAAAGGTGAGGTATCAGAGGAAGAGCAGTGCAACACAACACAAACACCTCAATGGTGGAGCAGGTGGCTGCAAAGGAGCATGAAGGCTGCAGTGCAAGAATAACCCATTGCTTTGAATCTCCCTGCCACTGGACACAGGTTTCTCTTCTGCATAGATCTATGTGGATGTTGATGCACAATGGCCTCCTCACATGAAACACATCACATGCAGGCTTCTCCCGCTGGTCCAACATCTACCACAGTAACCAATACCAATACCAGAACTTCTACCAAGTCCTGCAATGGTGGACAAGTAGCGACAGGGACAGACAAAGTGATTGTTGGGGCTCCGTCATCATGGATCCACATGCAGGCAGCGGTCACGTGGTGGTTGCTTCACCCTTGGTATGGGACAGGGAATTGATTTGGCAGCTATGATCGTGAGTGAGCAGTCTTTTTTAGGATCCCCTCTGCTCACCCCACATGGGGAGGGTCTAGAAAAGGTGCCCCAAGCATAGATTGTCCCATTTTACCTTACCCAACTGGATAGCCGCTTCCAGGGGGATCACTCTAATTGCAGTTGAAACACAAACATGTCCTTTGCTTGCATCCTGGAATGTACAAACCCTATTAGATGACCCAAACAGTGACAGACCTGAATGTGGAACAGCTATTATCACCTAAGAACCTCCACACTATAACATCAATATGCCTGCTCTCAGCAAGACCAGAAGCGCAGGTGAAAGCCAACTGAAGAAGGAAGGTGGCTATACGTTCTTCTGGAAAAGGAAACCTGCAAACAACAGGCAAAATATATTTGGTTTCACCATTAAGAACCAGATTGTCAGCTGAATGACCAAATGCCCTGTTGGCATTAATGAGTGCTAAATGACTCTCCACCTCCACCTGAGCAACAATTCATTTGCTACCATCATCAGTTCATATGCCCCAACACCCGATGCTGAGGAAGAACAGAAAGAACAGTTATATGCTGATTTTGATAAAATCCTGATCATCATAGGAAAAAAGCACAAGATTATTCTCCTTGGAGACTTCAATGCAAGAGTTGGCTGGGACTTTGACATGTGGAGGGGTACCATTGGAAAGGAAGGAGTGGGCAAGGCCAATTCCAATGGCATCCTTTTATTCAGTAAATGTACAGAACATGACCTTGTCATTAATAACTGTCTTCAGATAACATGACAGGTACAAAACAACATGGCAACACCCCCACTCAAAATAATTGTACCTCCTTGACTATGTCATTGTAAGAGCTGATCTAAACAATTTCCGTACCACATGTGTTGTCAGAACAGCTGATGACTGCTGGACTGGATCAACATTTAGTGAGATCAATCACATCCATCAGGGTTGCATTGAAACACCAAAAGCAACCAAAATCAATCCAAGGACAGTTCAAGATCAAACATCTTCAGACCTCTAGACACCAGGGGTGGGCAAAGCAGACAGTATTTGATTCAGATTCAGATTTGGCCTGATTCACGGGAGAGCGATTCAATTCACTGATTCAGATCACTGTCCTGATTCAATTCGGCTGAATCTGAAGATTTGATCCTGATTTGGAGAATCAACAGTTTGGCCATAGACACAGCTTTATATGTTTTTTCTACGTACCTTAAGGTATGAGACACAGCTGAGATGATGGGGCAGATGGAGTGTCCCATGGGAGCACAGGGGGCTCCCCTGCATGCTCGGCAGCAGACCTGGAAATGGACCAGTACTTCCAGTCCACTTCCTGGTCTGCTGCTAAGCATGTGGGCCCCCTCCCCCTCCCCCTCAACCCGGCTCAGTGATCGGCCACGGGGGCACCCCAGGTGCCCCCCCAGTTTCAGGAGGCACCAGTCACTGAGCCGGGGGGGGGGGGGGGGGGCGCTGTACACTCAGCGGCGGACCCAGAAGTGGGCCAGAAGTACTTCTGCTCCACTTCCAGGTCCTCCACTGAGGGGAACGGGGGACTCCCCCTGCACTCCCATGGGATGTTTCATCTGTTCCACCATTTCAGCATTCATGAGCCACACCTGGTAATTTGAGGTACGTAGAAAAAAAAAAAACATATAAAGCTGGGTCTATGGCCGAATCATTGAATCTCTCCAAATTGAATCGGAGGTTTCTGATTTGATTTGGAGAGACTAATGAGTCTCTTGATTTGATTTGGAAAAGAAAACAGAAATGGAAGGAAAGGAAACCAAGACCAAGAAACCTGAGATCCAACCCCCTCTTTAAATGCCATCTCCCAGTCTGCGACTCTAGGATTCGCCTTAGCCAGCAGCAGACTCATATACAGCTTGTTACCTGACCTGTGGGAGTAATCATCCTCAAAATGTGAGGGATCGCCAATTATTATACTACTCTGAAACATAGGATGGATGATATACCAGTAAATACAATTCTTGTACCTGGGACCTTCAGATTAGGAATTGTATGTAAAGGGATGAAATTCTTTTATGAGGGATGCAGTACTTCCTTCTAATCTTAGGAAGATTGAAATGGTAGATACCTGTGCCCAAGGCTGATGAGCTGAATAATAGAACTTTTCCACAATAAATTCCTTTTTCAGCCTGTTAGGTCCGAGACCACATGTTAGTTTAGCTTAAGAAGTGTAACTGACACTTGCATACAACACAGTGCTACCACCACAAACTATTGCCATCATGGAGCAGCTCCAATATATAGTACACGTCAAAGATGCCCATCTGCTTTAGTGGTATTAAAGCAAGCAGCAGACTTACCCCACAATCAAAAAAAACAATCCATGCAGTTTGTACTTATCTGAACCTGTATGTCTAGCTCGGCTTTCTGAAAATACTCTGCAGAAATTCACTTAAAAGGAGCCAGGGTGATGCTGCACTTTAATAAGTGTTTAGACTCAAGTGTTTGCTATTGAGCATGTATATGCCCCGAAGATTGCTGTCTATATAAACAAATGTAGTTTTTCCACACTTCTCTTCCAACTCCTTTAGAACCATTACATTTCTTCTAGTAAAGAAGAACCTTCATGGCCCTAACCCCACAAAGATGCACAAGTACTTAACTTTCAGTGGGACTACTTGTGCTCAAAGTGAAGCAAATGAAACAAGCCCTTGAGAGGCAGCAGCTTAAAATTGGCAGGCCAATCTGTCTAAAGTCAATTTTCAAAATGGAAAAACAAAAAAAAGCTTAAACATTGGAATATTTTAATTCACATGAGTGGAGTTTGATGCAGATAAAAAATGTACCCATGAAAAAGCCCTTTAAGCTGAATGCATGTATGGATGTACATCACAGGGTACGATTCATCCACAGCACTTATTTTCTCAGATAGTTGTGCTGCTAAAAACATATTTACACATTCATTTAAATTAAAGAGATTATTCAACATACTTAAATATGGAAACATTTAGTTTTATTATCATTGCATTATTACAAAAATATTATATTTTAGTACAGAAGTAGGAACATCCCTATACCAAATGACAGTATGCCATACAGAGAAGACATAGAATGTCTAAGGCTCTTCAGAACATTACTGTTCTTAAACCTCCAGTATAAATACCAAGTATTTAACTTTAAAACACAAATGTTCTTTTTATGAAGTATCAAAGAAAGACACTAAATACTAGTGAATAAAAAAAAAAAAAGTTACACATTCATGTGGGTCACTTAAATACAGTGAGGCAAGATCAGATTGTGAAAAAACTTAGGAGCAATGGCCATCTTAACGCAGCCCATGATTAAGGACTGTACAAACAACAATGATAGCTTGCAAAATAGACTAGCAATTGGACAAAGAAGCCTGTGCCCCCAAGGAATACATGGGTTCACAAGGCAACAGATTTTAGGACTGTAGTGTATTACTGTGCTTGCTCCAATTCTTTGCAACCCTGAAAAACTTATGCCCCTACATGCAAGTGCAAAGTGCTGGCCAGCAGCAGGATCTGAAAATCTAGTGGTTTGCCCATTCACAATGTGAAAGGCACTGGTTCCCAGTATCAGCCCTCAAGACCTGCAAGAATCAGACACCCCAAAGTAAGGAATCATCTACAAGAGACAGCAGATTAGTAATCAGTCTTCTCCTGTGCCACTACTGTTCTTGATCAATCCTAGCGACCAGCTGAGTATTTACAGAGAACAAGGTCAGAGATTTCTTCAACTATTTGAAGTGCATCAAGATACAAGGCATGTGCCCAACAGCGATACCCAGGGGACAGATGGATTAAATACTTAGTAGTGTTAATAAATACATAGGTAAGAACAGGTTGCAATAAATAAGAGCATTATGCCGAGGCTTGGAGAGGTGGATCACAGGAGCGCCTGGTGGATCAGGCCCCTGCTGAGCAGCAGGTCACCATGACAGTTTTCTGGTATCAGGTCTTCCTCCCAACACAGATGGGCTCAGGTGTAGCTACTTCTTCACTTCTACCTCTTCCCTCACGGCATGGCAGACCCCCTGAAGGAGTGAAAGCCCATGTCACAAGGGCAGTCTTGCACCCCTTGCCTCCAGGGGCTCACTTGGCTTCCCCCACACCTCACACCCAGGGGCAGGAAACACTGCCCGGTCCCCAGACTTTTGGGTGACTGGTGCCTAAGTTTGCCCCATGTACAACTCAGCACAGAGCCCGGGGGGCTGGGGCTCCTGGCACGGACCTACCGTTGGAGGATCTTGCTGATGATGAGCTGGACCCAGGGCGCCGCGGGGCTGAGGCAGAGCTTGCGGCCGTCCTTCAAGGTGGCGCTGCGGGAGAGAGAGCAGAGGTGAGCGCGGGCGGGCGGGCGGGCGG